ATAAGAATAATGTCCCTCTACGTCCTATGCTTGATATGAATAACTATCCTTAGTTGACATTTTGCAACCTTTTAAAAATAATATTAATAAATACAATTCTCATGATTTCTTTGAATTTGTCGACTCAATTAGAAATATCAACGTAATTGGTAAAAAAATATTTTCTCATTCGACTTCACTTCTCTTTTACAAATGTTCCTCTCACAGAAACTATTTGTTTTTTATATGACTATATTGAAAACAATAATCTTGATATGCGTATTCCAAAACATTATCTTAAACAACTACTTCTACGATGTACACTCAACGTACAGTTTAGATTTCATAATGTTTCCCAAAGATAAACAGATGGAGTTACAATGGACTCTCCATTGGTATCTCTCTTGACTGATTGTTTCATGACCAATCTAAAAATTCGATACTTTAACCAATAACTAAGAGATTTCATTATATAAAAGAGATATATGGGATGATACTTTCATTATGTATGAAATTTATTGGTTTTAATGAATTAGGGTAGATTTTAATACCGGTTGAGGTAAAAATAAACATTATAAATCAATAATTTTTATTATTGACTGTATATGAATTAAACCCTTTTTGTTTTATGGTACTTTGTATTTCCTGTCAATAGGGATAATTTTAATGGAACTAATGAAATATTAGAAATAATTTCGAATACTATTTTCAGCCAAATTTTTTGTCAATAATGACAGTCATTCACTAAATGATTCATTTTATATTTAACTTTCCTTTAAAAAAGACTTTATTTCATAATAAATTCATAATGAGTAACGGAAATAAAAACAAGATTGTAAACTGAATCTAATCATTAATCATATATATGGAATATCATTACTCATAAGTAATGAATAGTTAGTTTTGGAAAACATTTTAAAGTGTAACACTAAGTGATTGAAGTTTGAATTTCATGTGAATTATTGATTTCTTCATGATTTCATGCAATAAGTTCCTGAGGCAAGCCCTAAATTGGAATCCTGAAGGGAAGCGGAAAATTGGAAGGCCAAAGAACACATTACGTCGAGAAATAGAAGCAGATATGAAAAGTATGAATAACAACTGGAAGGAGTTGGAAAGGATTGCCCAAGACAGGGTTGGATGGAGAATGCTGGTGAGCGGCCTATGCTCCTTCACGAGGAGTAACAGGCGTGAGTAAGTAAGTATGAATTTAAATAAAACCAGAACAAATATTGACGCAGAATAATGTGATTTCATTATAGTTCGTGGTTACTCGTCAGCTGCTTGCAACCAAATATGTATTAGAATTTTATATTGAGATAAATAGTATAGAATGATTGACATAAGTGAAAGTAAAGGACTGGAATGACAAAGGTTATATGCAAGAACAGACCAGAGGTTATTAGGTGTCAGAATCAAGGAAACGTTAAGGATGGGTGCTGTAATAGTGAAGTCCAGAGACAGATAATATAAATTGTGTAATAATTTTAGAAGTAATAAAGGATTCATGGAATTGAAAAGTTAATAAGATGGGTTACGTATTAATTGAATAGAGTTTGAAGAGTTCACATAATTTAAGAGAATCAAGTGAGTGGAAATGTGTGAAGTTTTTTTATCGCGATCGCTTCAGCAAAACGGAGAGCAGCCGTACTTCCTTGTTTGCTAATAATTTTATCTGTCTCTGAACTCCATTATTACACCACCCATCCTTAATGTTTCCTTGATTCTAACACCTAACAACCTCTGATCTGTTCTTGCATATATATATAGTTATCATTGATAACCTCTGTCCTTTCAATCCTTTACTTTCACTTATGTCAATTCTACCATACTATTTCTTATCTCAATATAAAATTCTAATACATATTTGGTTGTAAGAAGCTGATGAGAACCACGAACTATAATGAATTCATATTATTCTACATCAATATTTGTTTTGTCTTTATTTAAACTCTTCATGTTTATTTGATACTTTATAAATAGTGTATACTAGCTAGTTGAAACTCTAGGTCAATAGTTTGTTATTAATTAACTTCTAATATCAAATTGTCACAAGTATCTGGGTTTTTTCAAACTACTGTGTTGTGCGCTACTTATATTAACATAAGTAGTAGATGATGTTAGTCGTGAACATAATGTCTGGCAGCAGAGAGACAAGAGGATCTAACAGTAAAGAATGGAAACAGGATGGAATTTGTATGAAAATGCAAGAACAATGAAGTCTTAGTCATTATGAGACAATTGATGGGCATTTTACAAATTACGTATTTACTATTTGATTGTTAGATTTTATTAGCAAGTCCTGTAATTTCGTGTCAAACACATTGGATTGTCCCCATCCGTGTTCTGTTAACTACGCTGCTACTTGTAATTAAGGTAGTATAGAATAGTCATTATTTTTTAAATATGTGCCAGGTATCAGTTCTCAAAAAAAGACAAACAGTTAGTAGGATGTCTTCACTTCGATACAAATGATTGACAAAACACTTTTAGTCTATGAGATATAATAGAGTATTTTAATCATATCATATTTTAATCCCATATCCCATACTAGGACGAAACGGCCGTCCAGTACTTCAATCATGATCTAGCTTTAATTGACTCATAAATTTAGAGAGACTACAATTTATGGATAAACCAATCAGATTTACGATAACAGTTCTTGAATTTTGGCACGAAATTCACTCATTCATTTGGTTAAGTGGAGTTTTTGGGATTATAGCTGAAGTCAGTTCGTTATGTAAACCGGTATATCTGATTCGTAACCCTAACTATCAACTGTTAATATTAATCCTAATTCCTCGCACCGGTGTCTAACCCACGTTTAGCCGTAGTATGTAGGTGAAAATTCTCAAAGTCTCTTTAGCGTCAATCAAAGGTCATCCATAGATTATAGTCTCACGATGAATTCAACTATTAAATTCCTATCACTTTTTCAGAAAATGAGCATAAATCTTGTGAACAAAATAAATCTTTCTACTGAAATGTATTTACTTTGTTAGATATATATGGATTTATTTGTAGTAAACATATGACAATGATTCACTTGGTATTGTTTTACTCGAATCTACCCATTGATGTTTAGGAATGCAGTTGATCAGTAGCTTATTGGCATATGTGCATACTGTGCGTATTGCATCGATATTGCCTTAATTACAAGCATTCTAAGCAAAGATGGCTAGTGGCTAGTAGTGGAATCCAGGATGCGCGTTCCGTTCTATTTGGGACTCGTCAGCTGGATGTACTTGATCAATTGCAGTCCTAAACATCGATGGGTAGATTCAAGTAAAACAATATCAAGTGAATCAAACTTCACGCCATTTCACAAGCAAGTGGCTATCAGGACTCAGTAGCTAAGTGGATAACGTGATGGCGTTTGAAGCGAACAGTACTGGGTTCGAATCTCAAATTAAACATCAACTCTGAGATGCAGGTACATCCGGCTGAAGAGTCCCAAACAGGACGAAACGCGCATCCTGGATTCCACTACTAGCCACTACCCATCTTTGCTTATGGACATTGATTTCATGAGATCTGTACAAATAACGATTAGACATACACTGAAAAAGATGTTTTAAGAAAGTATTATTTTTTTAAGAATACATCATAGAAATTACGATAGTTATTTATTAAAAACCAACAAGTTACAAGTTCAAACGTAGCATTACCCACTATGATTGAGTTAGCCAACTTTTACACAGTGTGATTAAACATAGTATATATATATGTAGTTTGTAAATACACTATTCAAACTTTCTATTTTGAACCGTCTACTTTATTATCCAAGACTGATTAAATATATACATAGTCAGTCTATCATCGTATTATCATGACGAGTTAAAATAATACATCTAATCTGTAACAAAACCTACTGACAGTCTAGATTTCCAATCCTTAAATTAAATTGTAACAAACTAAAACAAAATTATGTGAACAAGTAATTAAAACAATTTCACATGAAGACTGAATGGTTACACAGAAAGTCAATCTGAAAAAAATAAACATTATGAATAAAGAGGCGATATGGGAAAACTAGATGAGACTGAGTGGTAGTGACAGGAATTCATTGTTGTTTTTTTTAACATAATATTAATTTTCCTGCTTTTTCTCTCCAGCAACTATTTGTGACATTTTTTCCTTACATTTAAAAAAAACTCATTTGACCATACATCAATATTATACAACATTGAAGTAATCAGTCTCTTGTTGGCATATGTGCATCTCGTGCGAACTGCATTGATAATGCCTTAAGTCACAATAGACTGATCAATCGCATTCGTAAACAACAATGGGAAGATACAAGCAAACAAAACTAAAAGGATTTAAAACTTCACTTCATTGTACAAGCAGGTGACTATCAGAACTCAGTAGCTAAATGGATAATACGATGATGTTTGAAGCGAGCGGTATTGGGTTCGAGTTCTGGAGGGAACAACAAGTCTGAGATACAGACATATCCAGCTGAAAAGTCTCAAATTGGACGAAACGCGCATCCTGAATTCCATCGCTAGCCATTATCTATGCTTGCTTAAAGAATTACTTCCCTAATAAAATGTATATTCTTTGCATTATTAAACCACTTAAGTGAATAAAATTAATAATCTTGTAGGATGTTTATGAAATACTCCAACCGAAGTCATAAATAGTTTATTCTTTAAACAACAAAGTCTTTCCATAGTATCCACTTCTGAAAATATTCATAATTATATCAGTTACTTTTCCCGCGCGATTCTCTTGTTATAAATGTCCCTGTAAACGCTCAATCATCAATCTTTTCAACTGTTTTATCGTTTTCTGTTTTGATGAAATCGTATTCACAGATGATTCTTCTGAAACATTTACATTAAAAATTATTTGTACAGCATGCATCTCTTCTGTAAGCACATGATATAGCACAGGTTTCATATTCTTCTCAACAATGAAAGTCAAAGAATTTCAGATAAACTCTACCATATAGTTTTTCAAGATAAATCAAATTACTATATGATAAAATAACAGAAAAGTCAGCTCTAACACTTACTTTATAATGCCTTTGATGCTTGCATACATTTCTGAAAAAGAAAAAAAAAGAAGAGGAAGAGTATGCTTTATTACACATCAAACAAAATTTAAGAATTGTTTCAATTACAGAAAAAAAGGAATTGTAATATACTTCAGAGCTTTTACTTTGTACAAACAAACAGATGTTATTATCCTCAAGTAGTTCCTCGGTTTTCTTGATGTATTTTTCTTTGTCCATATTCACTGTGGTGCATCCTTTGTCCGCTGGGACTACGACAATATCTTTTCTAGTTCTGAGTTTCTTTAAAGCGTTTTGTTCTTGTGAAGTCAGTTGGTTGTTATCCTTTATCCGTTGAGTTGGTGGTTTGTCTTGTTTTTTTTGTTGCGTTTCTTCACTTATTCCGGAAGTTTTGAGTGAGGATTCTAGTACTGTGAAGAATTCTAGTTTTCAGGCGTTGCTTGTATTGTAGTTTAATCCCATTCGCAGTCAGTGATCTATGTTTATCAGTGGCAGTTTTGACAGGTTGGTCACGCAGTTGTTTGTGTTTTCTTCCATGGTTGGTTTTGAGATTTTGATTGGTTTCTTCTTTAGGGCGTTTCTTCTTTGTTCTCTATGTCGTTTTCATGATATTTCGATGGCTGTTGTCAAGATGTCCAAATGTTTAGAAACAAACAGATGTGTCCATTAAAGATTAAATCAACAATTATCAATCTATTACCGAGTTACATAGTCCACTAAATGTTAGATGGTTTCAGCACTTTTGTTTTCTTTCTTTTTCTGCAAGAAATAATCACGTCAATACCTTCAAGCACTAGGTTTTGTTGAAAATAATAATAATCATATAACTATCATATGTGTTTATCTTGTTTTTGTGATATTTTTGTCTTGTAAACATACAAAATGCATAATTCATAATTAAAATTCCCAAATCAACAGATAATTCTTTTGACCAACCAAAGTTTACTCTTCTGTTTTTTTCCCATTCCATAAAAACACCCACAAATTTAAACTAGTCAAAGGTAAATTTGTTTTTCGTACAGAATTTTGTTTATGTTTACCGTACAAAGTGTATGATTTATTTCATATACTGGCAAATTATTATACAGGTAGCAGTGAAATCCAGGATGAGCGTTTCGTCCAATTTGGGACTTGCCAGCTGGATTTGTCTGCATCTCAGCGTTGATGTTCATTCCATGACTCGAACCCAATATTATTTGCTTCAAACGTTATCTCATTATCCACTTAGCTACTGAGTCCTGGTAGATAACTGTTTGTACAATGGGGTGAAGTTCTGGATTCCACTGCTGGCCGCCAACTATCTTTGCTTATAAAGCTTGTGACTTAAGGCTATATCAAGGCAGTCTGCAGAGGATGAATATATGTCAACGAGAGACTAATCAATTAATGTCCTAAACAACAATGGGGAGATACACTCAAACAATACCAAATGAATATAGAACGTATTTAAAAAATAAGTATATATTACTACATAAATAGAATGAATTTCTTCGTTTTAATGTTTATCGAAGTATATTGTTTGTAGAAAGTTAAGGTTTAAGTGAAAAACTTTGAATTCTGATTAACACATTAAAAGTATGTAGAGATAATAAGGAAATGTCTTGGTAAGTAGCCATTTCTAGAAGTTAATCGAAATAGTAAGAAATCCTGATGAAAATAAGTAATTCTGTCCTGACCCAAGGATATTTAGTGCATAAATATCTACACGATGAGACCGTCTGAAATCAAACTTTTATGTCGGATACACGGTTGTAGTTATGTAAGTAATAGTATGAAAACTATCAAAATAATATGTCTCTCTTCTATATTTCCAGAAATAATAATTAGAAATTCCGCCTGTAGCTCTTCTAGAGTTATTGCAGGTTCCAAGCCCGGGTGAAGGAGGAGGGTTGGGCATGGGGTTAGCGATCCCATCCCGTAGAAGACTACCACGCTAAAAAAGCTCTAACCAGAAAATAATTAGAACTTACTAAAGCGAATTCACTTCACTGTACATTCTTTTTATATAACTTGGTTAGTTTAAGGCTAAGTCAGAGTACTTTGAGAACAAAATCTGTGTAAATTGTTGCTATAATAATACCATACTATTTTTTAAGTATGTCAGAGATTTACTAAATATGTTTTCTTTAATAAACCAAATGCTCGTAAATAAATCAATTTAACTCTTTAATTGTAATATGGACTGTTCAAGTAAACATTGATCTTGTGAATTATTAACATCGCTTATACACAATTACCTCAGACTGACTATTTTAGCAAAACATTATCAATTATTACTCTGAATACCAAAGGGGGCATCTGCTTCGCGATTTTTGAAGAATATTGGCTTTCACCTTGAGATGTCATCATTCTTCTAGATGAATATCCTTTAACTTCCAGGACAGAATTTAAATGATCTAAATGATATTTTTGAGTGAACACATGTTTAGCAAGTTTGTTTTTATGATATGATATGTCAAACTGTTCTCTATCCGGACTTGGGACCGGCATTACCGTCAAAGAGGTGTTTAGGAGGATTTTGATCGCATGACACTGCAATTTTATTCATCCTGTTGTCATAAAACTACTTCATATTTAACATTTTGATACATCCGTTTGCTTGTATAATCATTTCATAATCACAGTAAATGATTTTTTTTGTTTAGATTTTGTTCTAATTCTCTTCCTTGATTGACGTTATGTTATATGCATGTCATCTATGTCTTTATTTATTCATTAATACAATGAACATATATTTAAATTGCGTGCAAGTGGCTTTTAATATCCGGTATACAGTTTTGTTAATGAAATTTTGATACAATTTCCTTTAAACTATAATTCTTAATAAGCTTATTAAATACATATGTACTTATAAAACCTTAGGAACTCCGCCTGTAGCTCTTATAGGGTTACTGCCGGTCCCAAGCCCGGGTAAAGGAGGAGGGTTGGGCATGGGGTTAGCGTCTCCATCCCGTAGAAAACTAACTCACTAAAAAAACGCTTACCAGAAAAAATAATTCAAACCATTTTAACTCTGCCCTGGGAGTTAGAAGGTCTTCATTTAGAAGAATTATGACGCTTCATGGTGAAAGCCGAGTTCCTTCGGAAGCCACGAGGCCGATGCCCCTTCTAACAACCAGAGCAAAATTTTTTATTTTTTTTATCATGTTCGAGAGACTAAATCCAGTCCCAATTAAAAAGTAAGAAATATCCATAGGTGGTTATTTTTATTATTATTAACATCATCATCATTCTATTCATTAGTGTTTATGCTTTATTGAGTATGAAGCAATATATTGTTATTTTATTGTATGCTATATAACCACTCAGTTAATTGAATATTATCAGTTTAGGGGTTGTGGAGATTGTTAAGTTTTTTTATTGAGATCATGAACTGATTGATGTTAGACCACCATTGAAAACCTGGAAGCACTGGACAGGTGTTTCGTCCTATCGTGGGACCGATCAGCAGTGCGCATCCACGGTCCCACTCGTGGGATTTGACAGCAGGGCCTTTAATCTCGAGCACGAACGCTTAACCTACTGGACCACTGGGCCAGCATCCAATGGTGTTAATGTCTATTCATTAATCATAATATTTAAATGTTTCCATCATTGATAAGATCCAAATTACAGTAATCTTCAATAATCTACCAAAATTAGCTTATAAACTGTAGGATTTATAAAGTTTATTTAAATCATAATCAACATCATAAACTATTTTAATGTTCAGATAAATTCATACTATCTTTCCTGGTCTCGACAAATATGATAAAGGAGCTTGGTTTTAAATCATTTCCCAGTAACATATACATCGCGTTACTATCGAAACGTATATCATAAGAAAATCTTCCCTCTATATATATATTACCTTGTATAATCGATCTCGTTCTACCATCTCTCTTCTACGTCTGCTTGCCTACAGAAAAGATGCCAAAATTAAAGAAGGAAAAAAATCTAAATGAACTAAAATAATACTTAACAAATTTTGAAATAAACATCATCAAAATCATTAATCGATTATACAATGTAGAACAAAAAACACTGGTTAGTGATTAGAAAAACATGTTTCGACATTCGAATTATCTAATCAATAAAAATCATATTGACTATCAATTATAATAATTGTGAACACTAATAAATCATGAGCTAATAGGTAAGGATAGTTAAGGATAAAGCTATCTCATGAATAATACATTCAGGACTGGAGTAACATTAATCTATTCAGACACGATCGAATCAAATTGTAAAGACTTAACATGAATTACAATCCAATGTATAATTGTTTTTGTGTTCAATAGACTGTAACAATATTAGCCTTCAACTAACCATAGTCAGTGGATATTAATCTTCTCTTTTGTTATTCTACTGAATTAATTCATGCTGAGTTCAATATTGACGATACGAAAGATTCCGTTTGGCTTTAACAGACAAGTCATAAGTGGTTCACGATGACATTGTTAGCAACTATAAGAATACAAATATCTCTACATCAACTAATTCGGAATTTTTTGCAGACTTAAGCTTCACAAATAAAAAATGTGAAGTTAACCAGTTGTCAGATACAGCTCATCGGTCGTTTTAGAGAATAATATTTTACAAACAGTCAAAAGAGATTGATTGTCGCTAGAGGCAAATATTTGTTGCTCGATTATTTTTTCTCAACTTTGATCCGTGAATAGCATCGGTATAGGCAAAATCAAGATTTCGATAATGCAATGAGAAGACGTAGTTTATCAGAATTATGTGATATATTTGCGCAATACATTTCGAACAATCTGATCACACATATACTTGTTAAGAACATTTATATATGAAAAATTAAAAGGTCAGCTAGACAGGTTAAGGGTAAGTCATAACAAAGGAAAAAATATTAAAGTACACAAAAACAAATGTGATTACCACTCTGGACAGTAAAATCAAGATTACTTACAAATTCGATGAGAGGTCGATGTTTACCAGAATTTTTTACAACATTGTAACTTCTCTTTAAACACTAACAGTCTGAAGCTGATTACATTTTTTCAGGAGTGCTGGTTACTGTAAAATATGCATGCATAACTGTTGTTACTTAAAGAATATCTGTACTACGAGTCTTACACACTGACAAAAGATTGTAGATCAACGTTAAACCTGACTGGTAGATAAATATGTTGGATTAGACTTGATTGTTTATTTATCGAAATCATGTAATATGGCTTTGCAATACTCGAGCTGACCAAACATTGTCACAGCAATCTCAGGCTAATATCAAATGTTACTTAACTAATGCATCATCTCGGGTACACTAGAAGGGTGTGTGAATACTTAATGTTGAATGTTGGCATATCATGACTTCTCTTGGTCATGTATCTTTCTGTCTGCTCTAGTAATTGCTCTGTGTTACCGATAATGTAACATATGGTGTTGTGAACTAAATCGTCACTGTGACAAATAGACTGTCAAGACTAATCCAAGTGTGAATAACACGACATGTGCTACACAGCAAATACTTCCAAGTCTTCACTCAAATTCATTTTAGGCTGTATGACTACATTAAATGATTGTTTTGTTCTCTGGTAACTCAGTTTGTCAGACAAAATTCTTGGAAACAATAGAAAACAAATGATGATTTGAAGTTTACAGAAAATGAAAATAGTTCAACTTTGCAGGTCAATAATTTACAGTTTAACACCTACTTACATAATTAAGTATACAAATTAAGTCAAATCGTTAATTCAAATCAATTAGGATTTCATTAAACAGCCATTTTTTCAACGTAGAAAGAGTGATCGGTGAAATGTAATCTAATAGATCTAGCAGTAAGAAATTCGAACTGACGAGTATTTTTACTGCACATTGTAGAATAGTCATTGTATCGACCACAATAAGGATTATGATCTATCGAACTTAATAAGCACAAATGATGAATTTTGAAAGAAATTTGAACTCTAATCCACTACTGAGGAATATTTTACAGCTGTAAACTCATGTGAAGTAAATTAAACATCATTGTTATTGTGTATATGATTTAGAACATATACTTCACTGCAGCTAGCTTACTTTAAATGTATGTTAGAATATGTATTGCTTGTTTGAATCCTGAGACTGATGTTTAGGAATGCAATTAATTAGTCACTATTTGATATGTGTTCATCTTGTACATATTGCCAAATATATTCATTAAAACACAAGTATTCTAATCAGAAATGAATAGTGACCGGTAGTGTAATCCAAGACACGCGATTCTATCTCCAAAGGTATATGAATTAAATTTCACTAACATTTTTTGACTCAGTGACTGATTGAGTAAGGCAATGGTGTTTAAAGTAAATAGTGAGTTCAAGTCATAGAGTGAATATCCACACACGAAAAGAGTTAAATCCAATTGACAGGTCTTAACTAAGACGAAATATGTGTTTTATATTCCACTTTAAGCTACTATCCATCTATACTTATCTTAGAATAATTTGTATATATTCATAATCAATATTATCAAAAGTAGTCTGATTATGTTATATTTGATTAGCTTGGAATATTCAAGTCATAATACGCCTTTATATTATTGGAAAGGATAAACAATTATCTGTAGTAAATGTCAATGATAATAAATAACACGTGTAAGAGTTTTCTCTTTTTTTTTCTTCCTTCTTTTATGCCTACCTTACAGATACAATAGACTAAAATGAAATATTAAAAATAGTCTAGTCAATTCAAACCCGTTAATATAAAACATTGTGAATGGAACTGAGTCTTTTTTTTATAATTTTGCTTAGTAACAAAAATATATTCTCCATATACACGTTATTATTTCATTCAATATGACAGGAACATTTACAATACTTGAAAAATAATTTAAATTACATTAATTACGTAATAATTCTTACTTTCTATTGAAGGAATAAATAATGAAATGAAAAGAATAAAAAATTAAAAAAGTTGTGTTGTTGTGCATTATTTATCTTGTTCACATATCGTATGTGAGCCAACTTCTCAAATATCACTAAATGAGATAGTGGAGGTTTATAGATCAAGTGAATGACTGTAATGAAGTTTTGTTCTCTGAGCTGGATGGTCTAATTGTGGAGTTTACATACTTCTTCTGAACAACATTATTGGCACACACTTCAAGTAGAAGTCTACCACGACCAAACCATCCAGCTCAGGAAAAAAACTCCATCAAAATCTCTAAATAATTTCATTTTACAAATTGTCATTAATTATAGTAATAAGAAATATCAGAACAGATTTTCTACCCTATTATGAGACTTTACATATCACTTAGTCGAAAATTGAGCCGAAGATATCAAGATACTATTGTCGGAAGATTATTTTAAGATCACTGAGTTTGAATTCAGTAACCAATGTTTACGAACTTCAGGAACCCATGATATAGCGTAACATTTATATGATGTCATAGAAAAGTAACTCCATCATTGTTCATTACATATAATATAGTTGTACGCAGGTGTAACAGACAATCACTATAGATTATTATTTATTTACCAAACGTTTGCATTTACCTACAAAAGTTTACATAAATATCCGATGATGATAATAATTAACAATAAATCATAGGAAAAAACTGAAAATCTTACAAATTATACGGTCTTATAGGTATCATTACCAAGGTTTGATTTGATAATTTCGAATAAATTGGGCATTGGGCAGATTGTTATCAATAAATAATGTATTTGTAATGTCCCAATGAGTAAAAAATTAGATTTTCTGGCGTTTCGTAACTTAGTGTAAGCCACTTCTTCAGAGGATAAATAATCAAATCAAAATCAATTCAAGTTTAAATAATACAACGGAACAACAAGAGTATTTTCTGAAGAAGTGGCTTACACTAAGTCACGAAACGTCAGAAAATCTCATTTTTCTACTCATTAGTCTTAGTTTATTCATTATTTATGTTACATATGCAGAAATGTTTATGTGTAACTATAACACTCTTCACAGGATGTAGTTTGTAATTTTTGATTTATCCATTTATTGATCAAACCGTTCGATAGATTTGTTTCGTACACATTTTCTGAAAACACATCACTAGATCAATGACTTTCTGGCTTTATCAACTTGAAAAACATCATGTTTAAGAGATGATTCCAAATTAAAACAATTGAGGTGCATAATCTTCTGAATTGATGGAATTCCTGATACCGGTAAAGTGAAACCTAAACTCATACGTAAGTGTTTACTTATAACTTTTAAAATGTTCAAAAACATATAAAAAATAGAGTCTATTAATGAATTTCTATTACTAGCTGGTGTAAGTATTCTAAACCATCAATTATATGAAGAGTGATAAACTAAAACAATTCATACTCTCAATGATTTTCATATGCAATATAGTTTTTGCGTAATATACTTTGAAGTAGGAGATAATGATCCATGTTATACTTGATTATCGACTGAAATCTTTATAATTTTCAGTAGAAACCTAGAAAGTAATATCATTGATCACATTTCTATTTATTTACTCATGGTATAATCGAAAATGTAATATAAAATTCTATACTTACGTCAAAATATAACCAAAATATAAATGTCAGATGAGCTAATACATATAATATGCAGAATGAAACAAAAACATCTCTTTCAATTCTCATCATTAATCGACGTTTATGTTGTTCACGATTCTTTGATTGTAATGCTAAAGCTATCCATGTTTGCTGATTGAATTGTTGAGATAATTTCTGTGAATTTTGTGTATCAATAATTCCTTTATCATCATTTGTAGTGATATGACCATGTGTAGATTTTCTATCTGTATCATAAGGATAAATATAAAATTCATTAATTTCAATAATTTAAAGATAAAGAAAACACAAAGTTCAGCGAGTGGATCTCTTTTCAAAAAACAATTGTTATCTAGCTGTATTTAGATAATAACTATCAGGATTGTTTTATATTCAACTCTTAAAATCAAAAGAAACACTTACTACCCATAACATAAATGCTGAACTATATGTACAATAGAAGCATTGCTTATCATTATCTTCAATGTGGCTTTGAAAATATCATCAGTATTTTACAATCATTTCATAGATTCTGCATTTGAGAGGATTCCTCTCTTTATTTTTAGTTATTTCTCATATCCCCATAATTTTATTAATGATTGTTTCTGATATCATTTCGTTTCTTTTCATTTCGATAGTGTGATAAGAAGACGAAGATTATCAGAACTATGTGGGTTATTTAATCCTGTTTGTTTCTGAAACCATTTAGCTACATTCTAAGCAAACATGGATAGTGGCTAGCATTGCAAACCAGGACGCATGTTTTGTATTATGTGGGACTCGTCAGCTGGATGTACCTGCGTCTCAGAGTTGATGTTCACTCTGGGACTGGACGCCATTTCCATTCGCTTCAAACGCTATCGCGTTATCTACTCAGTTACTGAGTCTTGATAGTCACTTGTTTGTGCAATGGGGTGAAGTTTTAAATTCATTTAGTATTGTTTTAACTGAATCTTCCCATCGATGTTTAGCAACCTAATTTTGAGATCACGGTTACTTCTCCTTATGTATGTGTGACCAAACTTATTTATTGTAACAAAATATATTTAGTTATATTACTCTGTTAGCGTTATGGTCCACTGGTAAGTAGATTTTATACACCATTTTATTTACACACCTCACGTAAACATCATACAAAATTTTATTGTTATTGTTTGTACTATATCACCTGGTATTATAATCTTTCTGTTACGTCATGTTTGTTTATTGCTCATATTTCCATACAAAATTAATAAGTTAAATTTAATGTCATTAAAATAACCATTGTGTCATCCGAATAAAGCGAATTCAACGAAATTTATTTTACTTATTTGAACACATAAATATTGGTACAAAGGGGCATCGAATAGATATGCGCCACACAGGTCTCTCGATTTGTGTGTGGGATATGATACTGTTCGGGTGCTCAGACCAAAACGGATGGTTTTCTTAGAGGGACACGCCTGGAGCCTTCGACCTAAAGGTCTGATCCACAAAGCAGTGGAGCATCGTCAAAACATGCAGTCACATGATAGCCAGTGACCAACAATAGTATCGTCGATCAGGATCTTAGAGCCCATATGCACAATTGGTTTGGAATAAGAGTTTTCCAACTCTCTGCTGAAGCACTGCTGAAGAGTAGGGGAACACCAATTCCAGCCCAAACTCTGAGTGTAAAAACTATACGTCCAACCTCTTATCCATTTTTAGCCTTTATTCACTTCTATAGTGTTTTTCTTTTTTTGTATTGTAATCAGTTATTATTATCCTTTAACAATTTTTCATGACTATAATCCAGTTGTTATCATGACCTTAATGTTTTTTCTTTTTTTATTCATATCTGTCAAACGGACAATTATCTTCATCTTTTCATTCTTCTCTACCTCACCCCCCTATTATCGCACTATCACATTTGATATTTAGAGTCTCGAATCGCTTTATGATGCAATCTTTCCTATCCTGCTAGGACATTTATTTACCATACAACCATAAATACGAATATACATATTACATATATATACTATTGTACAGTTTGATAATAAATTCTTTGAAAAGAAATCCATTCTCTGAATTTCATGTTTCAATGTTAAAATGGTACTTCGATGAAAACATGAACCACAAGAACAAAATAATGCAATGTAGAAAGCAATTGATAACTGATTTACCAAATGCAACAATGTGACTTGGGGAAATATTGTAAACCAGAGAGAGAGAGAGAGACAAACAAGGTAAAACAATTACCGAGATTTAAGAACAGAGGAACAAGTATGTGAAATACTTTGAGGAACTCTTGGATAGATCAGCCCTGCTGAAGTCACAGGACATGGAAGCAACACATACAGACCTGCCTACAGATGTCATTCCACCAATTATCGAAGATCTCAGGATGGCCGTCAGACAAATCAAGAGTGCAAAAGCAGAAGAACCTGATAATATACCAGCTGAAGCATCAAAGTCACGAGTAGAAGCAATTGCAAACATGATTCACACTCTATTCAGGAAGATTTGGGAAAAGAAAAAGTGCCACTGACAAACTGGAAAGAAGGATCACTCATCAAGATACCGAAGAGAGGAGATCTGTCCAGTGATCGACTAGATTATGAAGACCTCAACATCTGAGGGTGAGCACGGGATATAATGAGCAGCTCAGAATCAATTAGACAGCTTACACTATGCAGATGACATGGCCCTTCTATCTCATCCACACCAACAAATGCAGATGGAGACAACTAGTGTGGCCGCAGCTGCCTCTGTATCAGCAGACCACAACATACAGAAGGGAGAAAGCAACATCCTCAAATACAACACAAAGAACACCAACTCAATCACACTTGATGGAGAAGCTCTGTATTAGGTGGAATCCTTCACGTATCTGGGAAGCATCATCGATGAACAAGGAGGATCTGATGCAGATATTAATGAAGGATTGGCAAAGCACGTACAGTATTTATACAGTTGAGGAACATATGGAAGTGAAAACAACTGTCTGGAGGAGAACATCAAATTCAGAATTTTCAATACGAACGTGAAGACGGTTTGTTCCACTGTGCGGAGTTGAATCAAGTAGAATTACTACAATGATTATCGAACTGTTACAAGTATTTTTGAACAGTCATCTACACAAGGTACTCAATGTCCGTTGACCGGATACCATCAGCAATGATCTACTATGGGAGGAAACAAACCAGCTTCCATCTGATTAGAAAATCAGGAAAAGACAATGGAATCGGATAGGATATATATTTTGGTGAAATCACCAAACTGCATCACGAATCAAGTGTTAAGTTGGAATCCTGAAGGAATCGGCAAAATGGAAGATGAAAGAAGACACTTCGTTGGTGACTGGAAGCAGATAATGAAAATGATGAATAGGAACTGGAAACAAGTGGGGAGTATTGCACAGGAAGAGATGAATATAGAATTTTGGTGGTCAGGCTATACTCCATCACGAGTGGTAACAGGTCTAAGTAAGTGATAAGTAATCACTAGACTTGTAACTAACTATGTAATCAACAATTATGTATACTTGTTATCCACTCTTTACTATTATCAATAACGTTTAATACTAATAACCACTGAACAATAAAGAAATATTTATCGAGTGTTTAACCGTTTATGAAACCCTCAAACTATCCAAGTAATTTAAAAATATATTATTCAGTAAGATAAATAAATAAACTATACTGACCTGGGTTAAACTTATATTATTTTTAACATCAATATAATCATCTATACTGGTATCCTTTATTTGTCTAGATGTTACGTTCATTGTAGAAGAATGCGGAAATGTTAATTCTTTATAACGTTTCATAAATGAAAATTGGGATTGGTTGATCTTAAAAGATTTTTCGTTGTAAGCTGTTCAAATTCTGCATCACTTGGTATTAATGTGACTACTGCATGCCATACACTAACAACACATAATATTGCCAGTGACATTAATACGTATTTGTCCTGTAAAAATGGAAACAAACAGTTTTTTTAATAGTTGAATTCATGAGTCGATATAAAGTAGAACACCACTGAAATCCTAGAGCACTGGAAAGTTGTTTCGTTCTAATATGAGACTCGAATCAAGGACCCTTGGCCTCGCGCGCGAACACTTAATCTCTGGACCACTGAACCGGCTCTAACTGTGTTAATGTCTAATAATCTTTCATCAAACATATTAGAAAAAATATACTTAAAATTATATGATTATTAAATTAGAAATATTTATTTTGTTTACTTAACGTTTGATACTGACTAGCTATATTAAATAGTTTTATCAGTCTTTCATAAGGACGTCTTCACAAGTCATTTGAGTGAATTATTTAGCCGCTGAACTAAATGATCATTTATGAATATAATGGAAAAAAGGAATTTAGAAATTTAATAGATCTAGATTTTGATTATCATGTTTCAATAAAGCAAATGTCGAAAAAAACTACTATGTTTTCTTTGAAACATTTATCTGGATCATAAACAAAGATGGATAGTGGTTAGTAGTGGAATCCAAGATGCGCGTTTCGTCCAATTTAGGACTCGTCGGCTGCATGTGCCTGCATCTCAGGAATCAATAACTAATTGAATAAAACGACGGCGTTCGATTCCCAGAGTGAACAACAACTTCGAGATACAGGCACATCTAGCTGACGAGTCCCGAATTTGTCGAAAGGCGCATTTTGGATTCCACTACTAGCCACTATCCATCTTTATTCATAAAGCTTGTGAATTAAGGCAATTTCAACGTAGTTCGCACACGATACACATATGCCAATAAGAGGCTGATCAATTGCAGACCTTAACAATAATGAGAAGATACAAGTGAATAATATCAAGTGATTTTACGCTTTGTTTTAAAAAAAAATAGAAATTAAATAGTATAAGCTTTCAACTTAATAAGGATGGAAACTATAAACATTAAATATACATATTCTAAACACATGCACACACACACACACACGTATATTGCTTGTTTTCAATACATATCTTTTCTATTAATTCATCAATAAATGTAAAGTGTGTACAAATTTTCATCCCTCCACCCCCCTAAAATTGACATATTACTGAATATGACGTACACATTTCTCAATGTATTTTGTTTCTCTTACACACTAAAATAATTTTATTATATTGTTTTGTTTTATTACAATCTGGTCAAGATTCAACATTCAAAAGGATTTCTTTCAAGTTTCAACTGTTTCAAATCATTAATTTCTTTATTGTTGTTGATCATTTAAAGATCTTTATCATATTGGGGAAATTATTTATTATCCCAGTAAATTGACATATTAATACTGTTATAAATGAATAGATTAGATTAGGCATGAATTTAGTTGTAAATGATTATTAATAGAAGATACAGGATAATGTTAGCACAGATTTATTACTGTACTAGAACAAATTTATCTAGTCAGAGACATTACAAATATTTAATAGTTGAATTCATGAGTCCATTGAAGCTAGACTACCATGGAAAACCAAGAAGCATTGAAAGGCCGTTTCGTCTTGGTATGCGACAGCTCAACAGTGCGCATCCACTATTCGTCTTACGAGATTCGAACCCAGGATCTGTCAGTTTCGTGCACGGGAGCTTAACCTCTAGACCACTGAGTTGGCATCCAACGGTGTTAGTGTCTAACTTCAACCAATCCAATCCATTAATTTACCCAAATCATATTTATTGTAGTGATTAATTTTACAGAAAAAACAATCTAGCCAAGGTCTTAAACTTTGTCAACGGCATCACCATTGGAATATCCTTAAATCTCTGTTTCACAAGTTACATATAAAAGATTACAACATCACTGACTGTATTGTTTAATCAGAAAGGATAATAATATTTAATAACTTCATTTCTTCTTGATTATTCATTGTGTTTGTTTTAATTAAATATCATTAAACATCATTAAATATCATTGTTTTTGATATCTGAGTCATATTCTCTCTTGTTTATATTGGAATATAACTTATAAATTCACTTGATATTGTTTATTTGTATCTTCCACTTGTTATTTAGGACCGTAATTTATAAGTCTCTTATTGACATATGTGTATCCTGTGCGTATTTCCTCGATATTACCTGAAGTTACAATGTTTATAAATAAAGATGGATAGTGCTTAGTAATGGGATTACGGACACGCATTTCGTCCTCTTTGGGACTCGTCAGTTGAATGTACCTGCATCACAGAATTGATGTTCACTTATTATGTAACTAATAAATTGAATTACTGGGAAAGGCTTCATTGAAAAATTTTCATGACAACATACTGTACACAGTCATGAAACTGAAAATATCTATCGTTAATAGCATAAAACAGTATCATAATTTCTATTTTAGTATATTTTTACATTTGATATCTTCATTCCTATTTATAACTTAATGTTTTTTATGAAAACAATGTTTTGAATACACGATAGCAACATCAATAATACACTAGGCATTAAATAAATAAAATACATGTTTACGTAATGTCTGAAATCCTTTAGATTAGTAACCAGAGGAAAACCTTTAATAATATTGATGATGATAATAATAATAATAGTGATAGTAATTACTAGGTTTAATTAATTTAACAGTAAAAAGAAATTATTTAATTTACCATATATGTTAAATAAGAGATTTTCGGTAACGACTGATTAATTACAAATTTGAAAGCAACGGAAGTTAGAAATAATGTAAAAGATAATTGAAGTCGATTTTCTGGTCGTTCCGGTGGTACAGCAAATGTTGCAAATGATAATCCTGTGATAAAAAACTAGAATATTCAAAGAAATAAGATATAAAAACAATAAATGATTATTTTAAATCAAACAGTATATAAATAAATGTGTTTTATTTTAAGATAGTAATGATGCGCTCATCATTGTTTTCAATGAGTGACTATCTCATCACAGAATTGGTTGAACTTCACTGATCATGGCTTTTCACTAAAACTCTAAGAAATACTTCAGTGGTCTAGAGGTTAGACGTTCACACGCGAGACTGATAGAATGTGAGTTCAAATCTCATATGAATGACCGTAGATGTGCACTGCTGATGAGTCTCATACTAAGACAAAACGGTCGTCCAGTCCTTCCAGGTTTCCCATAGTGGTCTAGCTTTAATTGACTCATGAATTCAACTATTAAATTAACACCAGTCAGTTATATGCGAATTATGCGGAAATTTCACAATATTGAGTTAAATAAATGAATTATTGTGTGTGTGCTAAGGTTGAAGCTATCACGAGTTCACTTGATCTGAGAACGAGAAAACAAGACTCGGTGACCACAGACCAGTAAGCTAGCTATTGATGTGTCCCAGCACCGCTAACTAGAGGGAGAAGTCCAAGCTTGGAATGGGAAGTATATTCTACAAACAGCCAGAAACGAGCGATAACAACAAACACAATTCAAAACGTATATATACAGTACAAAACCGTCCTTGGGGAGAGTTACCAAATGACATACTAAAAGAGCCAACGGACCAATAGCATTTAAGATATTTCCCAGTGGGAAATACGACATGAAGGTGACAAGAGCGCCTTTGGCGCGAAAGCAAAGAAATTCAAATTTTCTAAATAAAATTACAAAATTAGGTCCTTTCTGAAGTGAGTTCTGGGGATCTAACGTCCCCAACAAACCTCCCCTTCTTAATAGCGTACTTTCCTGGGGTCGACTTGCATCTTGACTGTTGCTCACCGCTGTCGGAGAGGCCACCTTCTGGAACGGAGATCAGCTTTTTGTTGAGCTTCTTCTCATGGTTGGACTGCTGGTAAGTTGAAGGTATCAAGCAGGATTTCAAAGGGAAGATTTACTCCTGTTGATGGGCGGTCTTGGGCTATCCGCTCCCGTAGTTGGTTTCGGTGTCTAGTCCACGTGTCTCTTCCCACCTTTACCTCGTACATAACTTGGCCTAGTCTTCAAACCACACGTGCTTCGGTCCAAGGACCATGGTTTGCTAACGTCTCTAGCAGTGCATTTGTGTAAGATTGAGTTATTTTTAGTTGTTATTCGGTGTTAATTTGTTTTTATATGAAGTTAAAATAAAAAGTGGAAAGTGAAAATGCTTTTTTAAACGTCGGTGCGCATGTAAAATGAGAACCATCAAATGTATAACTTTAACATCCCGGATCAATTTCTGTCAGAATAATGATGGATGTGAAATAAACGGGTTGAATAGAGACAGAGTCCAATTACTTGTTAATGAACATTGGCTTCGTGGTAGCTAGTTGAATACCATCTTTTCTGTACAGGATGTTCTTATTAGCCCATATATACAGAGCTTCTGATTTCTTTCTTTCTTAATATATACTAAACCCTTTCTCAAGTATTTTGTTCCCTTAGAAGTTAATCTTGTGTCCTGTTTCTAACGCATGTAATGCTATCGCCGTCATATTCTCATGCTTCTTCAGATCAATCGAGGTTTCGGAAACATGTTTCAAACATAGTTTGTGTTCCTTCAACCTCACATTTAATTATCTCCAAGTTTCTCCAACATAAGTGTATTCATTTGAACTACCTGAATTATTTCGTTCGAATTTGTTTATATTTCATAGTACTGGTGTATCATTTAAACATTCATGTGAATAGTTTTATAGCAGTATGACACAATAGATCAAAATACATGAACTTGGAATTGATACACTTTATTAACAAGAATGTATGCAAGAATTAGAGATATGAAACCTATCGAATGAAATACAATTTGAGGTACCAGAAATGAATAAATACTTTTTGATAAAACTTTTGTTTTTATGTGACTTCTGTCACTGTTATCTAAACAGATAAGAGGTTGGAGGATTTTTTGAAGTTATTTGAGCAGGGTACTTCATAGAGGAGTTTTGTAATTATGCAAGCTAACGAAAATATTTTATAAGGTTTTCATTACAAACTCTTAAAGTTAATTTCTGAAATGAAATCAATCTTAAATGATGCAATCAAAATGTTTATCTACGTCAATAGCTTCTAAACTGAAATTCTACATTTTTTACTCAGTTATAACTCTTACGTTGAATGAAACGCTTTTAGCAGCTTGATTAAAACTGAATTGTTTTGCTTAGAAAGTATACTAAACTACCACTGGTCTTCAGTGATTAATCGATAACTCTGACATTAATCATCTAATCTATGGATACATTTATTTTGTGTTACCGAATACAGTTACTAAGGTTTTTCCCAATTATTCAAAAAAGGCAATAGCTTACTTTAAAATAAATAAAAAGTCAAACCTTTGAAAACGCTATTTTTTCATTAAACTCTTAGGAAAATGAAATGAAAACTGTGTAGTGAACTTCGTAGTTAGTCTAGCTCTTCTGTCCCATACACACCAACAAATGCAGGTCAGTACAACCAGTTTAGCAGCAGATGCCTATGCATCAGTAGGCTTCAACATAAACAATGAAAAAAGCAAGGTCCTCACATACAACACAAAGAACACCAACTCAATCACACTTGATGGAGAACCTCTGTATTAGGTGGAATCCTTCACGTATCTGGGAAGCATCATCGATGAACAAGGAGGATCTGATGCAGATATTAATGAAGGATTGGCAAATCATGTACAGTATTTATACAGTCAAAACAAGTGTCTGGAGGGGAACGTAAAGTTCATAATCTTCAATACGAACGTCGAAACAGTTTCGTTGTACGGGGCTGAAACTTCGAAAACTATTACAACCTTCATCCAACTGGTACAAGTATGTATAGCCAATTGTCTACGTAAGATATTCAATGTCCGTTGATCGGAGACCATCAGCAACAAACCACTATGGGAGAGAGCAAACCAGCTTCCATCTGATTAGGAAATCAGAAAAGACAATGGAATCGGATAGGATATATATTTTGGAGATCATCAAACTGCATCACGAATCAAGTGTTAAGTTGGAATCCTGAAGGAATCGGCAGAATGGGAGATGAAAGAAGACACTTCGTTGGTGATTGGAAGCAGATAATGAAAATGATGAATAGGAACTGGAAGCAAGTGGGGAGTATTGCACAGGAAAGAGATGGATAGAGAATTTTGGTGGTCTATCTATGCTCTTCCATGAGTGGTAACAGGCGTAAGTAAGTAAGTAAGTAAAGTAAGTAAATAAGTAAGTAAGTAAGTAAGTAAGTAAGTAAGTAAGTAAGTAAGTAAGTAAGTAAGTAAGTAAGTAAGTAAGTAAGTAAGTAAGTAAGTAAGTAAGTAAGTAAGTAAGTAAGTAAGTAAGTAAGTAAGTAAGTAAGTAAGTAAGTAAGTAAGTAAGTAAGTAAGTAAGTAAGTAAGTAAGTAAGTAAGTAAGTAAGTAAGTAAGTAAGTAAGTAAGTAAGTAAGTAAGTAAGTAAGTAAGTAAGTAAGTAAGTAAGTAAGTAAGTAAGTAAGTAAGTAAGTAAGTAAGTAAGTAAGTAAGTAAGTAAGTAAGTAAGTAAGTAAGTAAGTAAGTAAGTAAGTAAGTAAGTAAGTAAGTAAGTAAGTAAGTAAGTAAGTAAGTAAGTAAGTAAGTAAGTAAGTAAGTAAGTAAGTAAGTAAGTAAGTAAGTAAGTAAGTAAGTAAGTAAGTAAGTAAGTAAGTAAGTAAGTAAGTAAGCAAGCAAGTAAGTAAGTAAGTAAGTAAGTAAGTAAGCAAGCAAGCAAGCAAGTAAGTAAGTAAGTAAGTAAGAGATATCTTTATATCTAGACATATATTCATCCAAAAAAAATGTAGGATACGATGAAACGTAATAACTGGTTTCTGTTTGACTGAAAGTTGTCACAGTTTGTCTGTATAATTTATTGGGTTACTCCACTAGAAATACTAATTAAATGACTTTTGTAAAGTAGAAATCTTTGATAGATTTGACAGTTTTTTTCATAACACTGTAGCTGTTTACTGTCTCATATATATATACATATATGCAGCATATGAATTGTTTTGTCGAATAAAAAGACCATCTGTTACCTGTATTCTTAACATTGTTGTTTACATAAGAAACAAAATATTCTTTGCAAAATAATAAGTTGATTAATACAAACAAACTGCAGCAACAACGCTTTGATAAATCTGTTTCATGTATTCGGCTAAGTTAAACCATTGCTTAACTCAACGTATTCACTTGGCTTTTAGAAATTATTTTTCAGTCACAAGTTCTAATCAATTTCATCTCAAAAATATGATTAAGAAAATCCATAAAAAAACTCTACTTAACTTATAAAATACATTAATGTTAGTGTATTTATAAACTGTATGATACGCTTTTATGTTAGGTTGTTTAAAGAAACTAGCAGGAATCTCTGAACCTTATTTCTTTGTTAATTAACATTTATTAGTACGTTATAATTGGAATGTTTAGAGGATTGATACTTCCATTAAGATTCAAGCTATAAGTTATCTGTTGTCAAAGGATAAGATTTTACCGTTGGCCTATTTATACTGGTGATTTCAAGTCACTCAGACTTCATGGTTCAATGATTTTTGACTGACAGAATTTGACCAGCGCAGAAGATTAAACGTCTACTATACTAGTCAGCATTTAATGATAAATCAGTATATAAAATATGAGTTAGATTTGTATGTAGATATATGAACATATAAGTTTATATGTCAAATGAAATTGTGAAATTGATGATTAGAACAAATACTGGTTAAAGCAATTAGTCCCTTTGATAAATTTCGATAATGTAATAAGAAGACGAAGATTATCAGAAACTATGTGATATATAACAGCGCAATACATTTTGAACAATTCGATCACACATAATATACTTGTTAAGAACATTTATATATAAAAATAAATGGTCAACTAGACTGGAAATGGAGTAAGAGGAGACAAGGCGTAATAATAATAATGTGAACACAATTTGAAACCTAATCATTCTGGACAATAAGCCAATATTACCAGGGTAAGTTGAAGATGAGAACAAATTGTTTTTGAATACACAAAGGGGATTTGAATTTTCGTATCTCTAAAGCTTCAACAAACCTTAGTATACACACTTTTACACTTTTATACAACACCACAAAAGCCAAGTTCAATCTTATGACCTATTTCGACTATATGTTTAGCAATAGAGGAGAATGGATAGTTAACAAGAGGTAAGAGAGATAATAATGTAATTACATATCAGGAATCACGTTATATATATATATATATATAGAATAATATAAATTAGATACAAATTAGTACATAGGGATAAATGGTGAATAAATTTCTCAAAGCATTTGTAAATATTATAATAAACAATATATTTGCCTTCAACCTGATCACTTTGTTTTGGATCAGTGATACAAATATTTAATTGTGGTAAAACTTGAAGAAAAAAGTGTATTTTTCATTGATTTATGATAGAAATTTTATTACCAGTAAAATATTATAGTGATGTTAATGTCAAAGTTTTCTACTTTATTTTCCTAACCATCTATTACGCATAATGTATTCATTGCTTTAATAACAATAATAATAATAATAGTAACGATGTTACCTTATGATAATATGCTTATTATCAGGTGATATTTGGTATTACAGTTTCTTGTTTTTTTATCATGTAAATCTGATTCTCGAATATATTCCCAATACTAATTTTAACATCACTATAAATAGTTCTTATTATACTTACATGTCACAATGTCTTAATTTAAGGTTGATCTAAACATATAAGTAACATAAATTTTAAACAAGTAAAAATAATTTTTTGATTGAGATCATGAACTGATTGATGTTAGACCACCATTGAAAACCTGGAAGCACTGGAAGGCCGTTTCGTCCTATCATGGGACTCCCTAGCAGTGTCTTTAGTCTCGCGTGCAAACGCTCAACCCATCGGATCACTGAGCCGACATCCAATGGTGTGGGAGCTCGCTCGCGAGACTAAAGGCCCTGGGTTCGAATCCCGAGAGCGGGATCGTGTATGCGCACGGCTGAGGAGTCCAATGATAGGAAGAAACGGCCGTCCACTGCTTCCAGGTTTTCAATGGTGGTCTAACACCAATCAGTTCATGATCTGAATCAAAAACTTAATAATCTCCACAACCCCTATAATGATGAGAAATAATTTTATTTTTGTATTCTATTCACTTTTAAATACAATAGTAATGGAGAAGATATGTAACTGAGGTGAATGATTTTGATAGAGTTATGTTCTCTGAACTGGATGATTTGGTCATGGAGCTTTTATCGTTCTTTTGAATGATATCATCAGCACAAACTTAAGATAGGAGACTTCTACTTGAAGTTGACGACGAAAGCTCCACTACTAGACCGTCCAGCTCAGAGAACAAAACTATCAAAATACAGTAGTCTCAATGTTACTAACTATATCTTCTGTTCATACTCATGATAGATATACCAACTAAACAACATAAGGAGAACTGATGTACGTACGTACGAAGTTCTACGTTGTTACTGACTGACTGACTGACTGACTGACTGATAGTATTTGTTTGACGCAAACTTTTCATTTAGAGCCTTATGCATGATTTTTTTCTAATTACCATTATATTTTAATGTGTATCCAATATGCACGTTTTTCATCTACGTAGCTCTTAAATGATAAAAAATTAATGATTTATTAAATTAAAATATAAAATGTATAAGTTATAATAATTTAAGATTACAAGATAAATACATATATACACACCATCGTCATACCATAATTAGAAAGACATTCCAGTAGAAATAACCAGGCCTACGTGCTGCTCTACATGTAACAGAAATACAAGGATGACTTTGACTAGAATTTGTATATTCTTGGGTAGCCGAACGTCTTGTTATTTCAATATGTTCATGGAGTCGCCATTCCTAAAATAAAATGTTAATTAAATTAGTGTTAAAGATAAAGGTTTAGTATGTTTAGAAGCTTGGTACTTAGGTCAATCAGCAATAAATAAACACATTGAAACTGATTAAATCTACCAAACAACCAGAAAAATCAGTGAGAAATATGGGATCAAGAATCAAATCTAATGGCAATACGATTAAAATTATGAGGTAAACAATGACAGGTTAAAGGTCAACAATAACTAATCAAGATCGAGGTCAACAGGACAGGCTTCGAGTTACATATGTAGAAATTCGAACACTTCAATTCGCGATCAAACTATCCATCTAAGAGAAGAAAACTCCGCTTAAATCATTCAATGGGCTACAAATCTTCTCTACCATCTCAACGCTTCGTTTTAATTTTTTTATAAATTTGTTTTTAAATGCTGTAACTGGGTTGGTTTGCTTCAACATAGCACAGGAATGAGTACAAGCTAAATTTTGTCTGGGTTAAACAATCAGAATACATTAAATGTTTTATTTTAGATCCCAAATTCAGTATGTTCCATCAACCGGACCTGTTAAAAACATTATCTATAACTTGTAATCCATTCTATTACTCCTCAGCTTCCCAATTAACACACGAATGAAAGATGTTCTATTTAATTTATTATTCTTTATTAAAAATAGATCTCCATTTCAAGGCAGTTGGTATAAATTATCTTGAATTCCATATCATACTAGCTTTAAGAGATGAATTTAGTTTTATATAAGAAGTTCTGTTCACGTCCACCTGGGATTTCCCATTGACTTCATCAAAGACTTTTGAAAACATGCTTTCAGTAGTGCAACTGTTTGCTTTACACTTAATTATATAAACTAATATTTTCAGTTGTAATTGTCTACTTTATTGACCAATAAGTAGTATATTTTATTCTACAAAAATGTACAACAATGATTTCTTAACTCATATGTAAATGTTAAGACTAAAGGCTATTCCATATCTTACCTGCTGATCTACAAGCGTTTGTAGGTTTATTCTGCAGGGTTCATGCTTATCTGGTATAAGTTCAACCTCCGATTCTGGTCTTTCGGATGTCAGAGTTATGGTCAAATCCTACAATGTAAAAACATCGAGAGATGTTACTTCAAATTGCTGAGTTTGAAGATCCCATAAAATATATTATCATACAATGCATTTTAAAGTTGACATCAAATTTTGTTGGTAGTGTGAAAAATGCCCAATATACTGCAACGAATACTGTAAAAATAGCTAAATACTTTAATTATGTTTTTATGCTCAATTTTATGTACATCATAAAATATAACATAAGCCTCAGAAATATACAACAAGCTGATGTCCTGAATATTGATATCACTTTGGATACGAGTGCTAGGCACTTTTTAGTACTTTTCTCAATCTTCCAAATTTGTTTGTGATCATAATTACATTGCTCAACATGTTACAAACAGATCACTTGTTTTTACTTAAACAGACAAAAATGAATAATCAATGTCTGGATCATAAAATATTCGGAAATCTCACAGTGTATGTATACCAAAAACTTCAGGTCCATAAGGAAGAATAGTCCTACTCAAGACCGCAAACAATCTACCTCAATAAAACTTCTAAAGAATGAGGAGGTTTTTCTAGACAAGTTATCATCTAACATTCCTCATCAGTTGATCTAAGTAATAATGAGGTTCATACTGAATATTTTGTAATACAGAGTTATAGCTTATAATCAAGATACTAGTATTTAATAAACAAGTTGATCCATTTTCTAATGGCTCCTACATTTTAAGCAGTATGAGATACCATACTTCAATTTAATGTACATCAATTCGTAATCGAATTCAGTTGTTGTGAGTGTTTTTGTAAACCTAAATTTTACAAACTATTACTAAGAGGATTTATAGAAATATACCATTCTCAAATTGTTCTCATATAAAAATAATATTCAGCTGTACATTATCAGTTGGTAATTTGCTATAGTAGTTCATGACTTTGTTAAAAGCCTATAGTTCATTAGATATTTATCTTTCAGTTACTTTCACTTCAGTCCTTTTTATAAAATCAAAACCTGGAATTCGATAGATATTTCAATGTAATTAGAATCTTCAGAATTTATTGACAACATTGAGATATAAAAACAGCATATCACAGTAACATTGAAGATAATGTAGCTCGTTAGAAAATAGTAACATTTCAATGACCTGGTTTGAGACAATAAAGATTCAACTATACTTAAGGATAAATCCTTATTTCTCTTTGGTTTAAGGTAAGCTAACTTATAAATTGTAGACTAACTGTCTGAAGTCTATTAACACTTTTTTTCGGAACGAAAAATATTCATTTTTCTAAAATTAAAAAAAAATTTCAATGGTTAAGATCATGAGTCGGTTGAAACTAGACCACCATGGAAAACCTGGAAGCACTGGACGGCTGTTTCGTCCTATTGTGGGACTCCTGGACTACTGGTTTCGCGCGTGAGCACTTAACCACTAGACCAGTGAGCCGGCATCCAACGGTGTTAATGTCTAACTCCAACTAATCCAGGTTTTCCATGGTGGTCTAGCTTCAACTGACTCATGATCTTAACCATTGAAATTACTATAATATCCACAAAAACCATCTGATGTTAAAAGAAATTGTTAGACAATGAGAAATGTTAGTGTCCAAACCAAATTTCATTCCACAAATAAATTACGGAGATTCATCTGTATAAATATGAATCATTGTTATTTGTTGATGTGTTTTGTTAATAATTATAATCATAATCAGTAATATTTTTAGGAGAATCTTATATTAGAGTCAGTAGTTTATGATGATAAGTGGATGCATTATTAATGAGGTTTAGTTAAACAGTGAATATCGTAAGTGTTTAATCTGTCGATATAATGACTTTTGATCCATTTATTCCAATAAATAACATTGACACATTAAATTAATAATCCATTCAAACTAGTATGTTATGTGCGACTCAAAGGATTTATTTCACGTCAGTATTTCTTATCATAGATTAATTTTGTGAAGATTTTAAAATATGTGAGGTTGGTCTTGATTACTACATGGTATAAGCTTATGAATCATTCAAAACCTGAAGTTCCAAGATGGGATCTCTTTCAATAATCGTATATATGTATGAAAATTCTGTTAACGTATTAGTTCCTTGAGGACATATGAACAAGGAATAAACATGATGATGTAACAGAAGGATAATAATACTGGATTACGTAATGTAAATAATAATAATAATTAAAGCTTGTTTGTGTGCAAATAGAAAGCCTTGTAAAGCTAATAAGTTAAAAACGGATTATAATGTGAATAAAGTAAGATGATTAAGATAATTTTCACTTTGTGGTTGTGGAGATCATTGAATTTCATTGAAATCATGATCAGATCAATGTTAGATCGCCACTGAAGATCTGGAGGTACCGGACGGCCGTTTCGTCCCAGTATGAGACTCCTCAGCAATGCGTACCCATGATCTCACACAAGGGACCCTAAGCCAGCACCTTCGATCCCGTCGCGACCAGTGGAGTTCAACTGTGCCGGATATGAGGCAATTACCCACTGAAGACAATGGAAGATGGTTGCATGACATTGTGGATTGGGTCTGCGCGCGAGACCGAAGTTGTTCGGTTAGAATCCCTCGCAGGATATCACGGGTGCGCACTGCTGAGGAGTCTCACACTAGGGCGAAACGTCCGTCCAGTGCTTCCAGGTTTTCAAATATGGCCTGACATTGATCGGTTCATGATTTTAATAAAGTATCTTTGTTACAACAATTAAAGGTAATAGAGGAGTTAAATGAAATGAAGTGATATCAGAAACAATACGTATAAAATCATGGGGATAAGAGTAGTAATTAAAGGGGGGGTATTTTCGAATATGAAGTATAATAATAAAAGTTTAAGTTCAAGGTAACAGTAAGAATAGGATAGACTTCTTTTCCACGTACAGTTCTGGCCTCAACTCATGGATGGAAAGAGCTTTTGCCATTTGAAGGAGTTAGGTACAGAGAAATCTAGATAGATTCAAATGAATTGCATAATCAATCTTAAATCAACCAGTGGATCAGTAAAAAGTCATTAAAAAAGTAAAAGGACAGCCTAATTATTTTTTCCGTTCTTGTTTGAGTTAGAATCCAATGGTCTATATATTCCACTTTAGTCATTTTGTGGTACATGTAAGTCATGAGTCAAAACTGTGTATCGAGTTTATAAAAATTAGATCCATAAAGCTGGTAAATGTAAGTCACGAAAAAAAGATGTAAGGATAGCTCATTCAATCACGTAAAATAAATGACAACAACTAGATCTTTCTTGGAAATTCTTTTCAATAAATCACTCATGCAAAAAAGCATTTAAATCATGCAACTGTGAATTTTCTTTCTTTACTTCATCAAAGTGTGCCTAGGGATCCATTACATGTTTTCATGACAATATCATAATAAGCTGTTTCTAAATAAAGGTTAAATGGTGTGTGCTGGTGAGCGGCCTGTGCTCCTCTACGAGGGATAAAAGGTTTAAGTAAGTAAATAAGTTGATGTCGCCTTACACAGGTCAAAGAATCCCTGAACTATTCAATCAATTTAATATTACCTTACTGTTTAATTTGTTATCTTCACCATAACTGCTATAATTTTTTGTTGTTTTTATTTTGATGAAAAGTCAAACAAAACGTTTTGTTAACTATTTAGAAAAATCAGCATGAAATCAATCATGATACATCTGTCAACCGTGAACAGAAATTTCCTACACATTTTCTTTCCTTCAAAATTCATTAATCTGTCACCAATTACTAACTAAGGTTTTTTTTTACCCTAAAAAGTACGTACGTTTATTGATTTTAAGGTAGGTTTGAAATTTCTTGTGTATTGGTCAATCACTTATTAACTAGGGATACATAATGAGATGAAATGTATATGCGATTGACCTAAAAATATATATCAGTGGCCAGCAGTGGAATCCAGGATGCGCATCTCATCCACTGCTAGCCACTATCCATCTTTGCTTAAAAAGCTTGTGACTTAAGGCTATATCGAGGCAATCTGCACAGGATCAATTGCATTCCTAAATGACTATGGGAAGATAAAAGTAAAACAACACCTAGTTAATTTAACAAGTATACTTGCTATCAATAATAAAAAAACTCGTTTTTGTAGTTGGGTGTACAATGATTTATGGTAAAATTTCTTTATATTAACAACTATCAGTTACAAATAATTAATGTGGATAACATGTTAAGGATTTAAAATGAAAGGCACTGTTTTCGATCCACAGGGTGAGTATGAATGAAGGGATGTGGATAAACACAGCTTACAAGTCCCAAATAAGAGGAAACGATTACCCTGGAATGAGCTGCCAGCCACTATCCAACTTTGCTTCAAAACGCTCGTGAGCTTGTAGCAATATCGAAGCGACCATGTCATGTTCTGTAGATTGCTGAAGAGATTGATTAATTACAGTCCTTTACATCATCAACGGAAAGATTCAAACACTTACAAATTAGATATATATGCAACAATCTGTGATGCTGTCCAAAATATTTAACAGTTAGGGTTTTCATAAGGTTGTACATATGTTAGATCATATATAAAAATAGAATATGCAACAAACCACAACCTATATCTGTTAGAAATAGTTTACAAACCATTCCTAGATATGAATACCGGTTTGTTCGTCTGCAAATTAGGCGCTTCAGCACAAGACCGAAGGTCCCTGCTTCGATATTCAATGTGGTGGTAGATTAGCGCTGCTGGAGAGTTTCATACAGGGATAAAACAGCTCTCCTGTACTTTCTGGTTTTCGATACTTATTTAACTAAGGTCAGTGCATGATGTAATCTGGGAAAATTTAACAACCTTTAAAAAGTTTCAGTAGTAACAATTCCTTAAATTATTTTAAATATATATTGAAAACTTGTCCATGAAATGTGAATAACAGCGATTTATAACAACAGCAACGCACTGTGTTTATATTGATGATGAGTATGTATTGTCGGATGCTATATTAAGACTACGTGGCTTATTCTAACTTCCAGAGAAGTCAGTTTATTAATCCTTCTTCAGTCACATTTTAACCTTGTCAATTATTCGATTATCAACACTG